GCCACAACTCCCGGCTCCCTGCCACAGTTTTAGATCTATCATAGTCTATCATAGTTTTAACTGTGAAAGAAGGGATACATTTCTGGGGAAGGAGACTTCATTATAAAGAAGAAATACTGCTCTACCAATTTGCCAGAGAAAAAGAGAAGAAATAGTAGCAGAAACAGCTGAGAACTAGACATGCTTAATTTCCTTTCGTACGTAACCCTCCCATTCTCCTCCAACCCCTCCTTTCGTATTTTACTTCCCCGCCGTTAATGGCTGCGGTCTCTTTAAGTGCCCGCCTCCGATGCAACGTAGGAGGTGGGGCAAGGAACGCGTTTCATCCCGGAGGTGAGCGTTAGGTGATTTGTCCCTTTCGGGCTCCCGTCCTGTTGGTCCGCCATATTGTCTGCTGAAGCTGTCGCTGGAGCTGCTGCCGCTGCCGCCGCCAAGTCTGAGCGAGCGGAGCCGCGATGGGTGAGTAAGGAAACCAGGCAATTGAATACTGGGGCTCAGGCAGTCTCGGAGCTTAGTGCTTGGGTGAGAGCCTGTCCCTGGTCTGCGGAAGATGTTTGAATCCCCTGTAGATTTGATCTGAGACGAGAAGCCAGGCCGGGAGTACCCCTCAGGCCAGTTTGGGGCCGGGCTAGGGCCCGCGCGGGGAGCAGTCCTTAGGGGCTGGTTCGGGGGACAGCTTGGCAGGCCTGAAGTCCCCCCACGTGATGGCTTCAGGCAGGAGCCCACATGTTTCCTGGGGTTAGAAAGGGGCCTACTTTGCCCTGCTCCCAGACTGGGCTGGGGGACGAGCTCCCTGCGGCAGGCCTGGGCGACGCTAAGGTAGCCTTCTCCTGCTTGTGTTTGGCCGACGCGCGTGTTGACTAGATTCAGTGGCTTCTGCGAACTCGGGGAAGTCCTACATATGTTTCAAGGTAGAGTCCTCGGTTGAGGGGAGGCTAAGCGAACCACCTTCAGGCAGGTAACCAGGGGCAGCCAGGCCGAGAACAGCCGGGGCCCCTGAAGGCTGGGAGAACAGCTGGACCAAAATAGTGTGTTTAGGCTGGGCTCAAAGTGACAATCTTCGTAGTGGTTAATACCAGAGACCAAGACTTTTACGTCATATATAGGTTAGGGACTTCAGGTTTCTGGTCTGGCCTTGGCTGAGAGAAAAGGAGCGACCTGTTGATCTTTCTGAGGGCACACCGGCTGTCATGGCCTATGCCAAGAGAGAATACAATGGCGAAAAGTCTCTGAACTTAGAGACAGAACCAGCAGTGGTAGATCTTTTTCAGCAATTAAAAACTGTTAAATTTGCTAAGCTCTTTCTATGTGCAGACATTGTTTGAGTTGTTTTGCATGCTTGTTTTACTTAATTTGTATAGTCTCAAGAGGTAGATGCTACTATTCTGTTTTACAGAGAAAGAAACTGAGGCTTAGAGAAGTAAAATTACTTACCCAAGGTCACACAGTTAGTGGCTTCTCTAGAGCCCTAGTTTGTAACTGCTGTTTTTTAATGACCTGGCCCTCTAGTGGTTCAGCTGGAAGAAAGGGAAAGGGAGCCTTTAATCCATGTAAAGGTGTCTTTGGTGCATAGACCCACTTTGCAATCTTCAGTCTGTATGAAACTGAAAAAATCTAGAGTAAATTGCTAACCTCAACTATTGTGTTTGGGGAAGCTAAATGAGATTCTGGAATTGAATTTTGTAAGATCTCTGATCTTGAGGAAACAATACTTGAGCTGCAATGCAGTGACTTCAGGACCAAATTTGGTATTACAATCAGTCCTTCCACCTTCTAGCTCTCATTCAGAGAAGTCACTTAAGTGTTAGATGCAACAATACACGTGGATAATTTCTGGCACAGTCCATAATAAATGTTTTTTTTTTTTCCCTTTCTGAGCCTGTCTTTTCTCATCTCTAGAAGGGAGGGGAGGGGCAATGTTATCAAAGTATATGGGAACAAATAAGGGCCCTGTAATTATCAGAACAGATTCTTTTCCACTTTCAATAATGTTAGTTTATTTCCCTTAGGTCTCTGGTTTCCAGAATCCTTTGTTGAGTAATAAGACTTATAGGCCTTTCTTGGTAGCTGAAGTTTTCTGTATCTCTGTATCTGAAGTACTGTAGGGATGATGCTTGCAGCTCTGGAGGTTGCATTATTCCTTTTTTTTTTTTTTTGGAGACAGAGTCTCTCTTTGTCACCCTCAGTAGAGTGCTGTGGCATCATAGCTCACAGCAACCTCAAACTCCTGGGCTTAGACAATCCTCTTGCCTCAGCCACCCCAGTAGCTGGGCCTACAGGCGCCCACCACAATGCCCGGGGTCTCGTTCTTGCTCAGGCTGGTCTCAAACCTGTGAGCTCAGGGCAATCCTCCTGCCTCAGCCTCCCAGAGTGCTAGGATTACAGGTATAAGCCACGTTGCTCAAGTCTTTTCTTTATTCTGACCCTCTCTAACAGAGACTACAAACTCACAAGTCTTGGCTAACACCAGTTGTCTTATCATCACTTCTACTGATTTACTGCAAATCTGGCCACCCCTCCGTGGCCCCAAGGTGTAGGTCTTAATGTAAACTCTTAAACCAATCCTTGTAATTCTGTCTTCCCAGTAGACAGTGATTAAGTTAGGCAAGGGCATATGATGCAGTTCTAGCTAACTGATGTGAAAGGAAGCCTGGGTATTTCTAGAGGTCTTAAATATTTAAAAGAGATTTGCCAGCTTTTATTTTATTCTTATTTTCTGCCAGTTAGTTTTTTTTTTTTTGAGACAGAGTCTCATTATGTTGCTTGAGGTAGAGTGCCATGGCGTCACAGCTCACAGCAACCTCTAACTCTTGGGCTTAAGCAATTCTCTTGCCTCAGCCTCCCAAGTAGCTGAGACTACAGGCCCCCACCACAATGCCTGGCTATTTTTTCTTTTTTTTAGACAGGCCTCAAGCTGTCACCCTGGTTAGAGTGCTATGGCATCACAGCTTACAGCAATCTCCAACTCCTGGGCTTAAGAGATTCTCTTGCGTCAGCCTCCCAAGTAGCTGGGACAACAGGCACCCACCATAACACACAACCATCTTTTGGTTGTAATTGTCATTGTTTGGCAGGCCCGGGCTGGATTTGAACCCACCTGCTCTGGTGTATGTGGCTGGTGCCCCTTGAGCTATAGGCGCCAAGTCAACATCTGGCTATTTTTTGTAGTTTAGCAGGCCCGGGCCCAGTTTGAACCCACCAGCCCTGGTATATGTGGCTGAGCTACAAGTGCTGAGGCACTGCCAGTTATTTTAACCCAGGTTTTACCAAAGTGTGTGAGCCTCAAAAAAAAAAAAAGAAGAGAGAGAGAGAGCAATAATACTAGCCAGCACTTATATAGAAGTTGCTATGTACTAAGTAGTTTTCTAAGTACAGGCATACCTTAGAGATAATGCAGGCTTGGTTCCAGACCCTTGCAATAAAGTGAGTTACATGAATTTGTTAATTTTCCAGTGCATATAAAAGTTGTGTTTATATTACACTTTAGTATATTAAGTATGCAGTAAATAGCATTATGTCTAAAAGAATGTGCATAGCTTAATTAAAAGTACTTGATTGCTAAAAATTGGCAGTTTAGCAAGTCATAATCTTTTTGCTCATAAAGGGTCTTGGCTCAGTGTTGATGGCTGTTGACTGATTGGGTGGTGGTTGCTCGAGATTAGGGAAGCTGTGGCATTTTCATAAAATGAGACAACAATGAGATTTGCCTCATCAACTAATTCTTTCACGAAAGATTTCTCTGTTGAACAATATGCAAGTTTGGTCATGATCATATCCGCAGGGTCTACTTTTTTTTCACTTTATCACCCTCAGTAGAATGCTATGGCATCACAGCCCACAGCAACCTTCAACTCCTAGGCTTAGGTGATTCTCTTGCCTCAGCCTCCTGAGTAGCTGCGACTATAGGTGCCTGCCACAATGCCTGGCTATTTTTTTGTTATAGTCTGGCTGGGGTCAGGTTTGAACCCACCACCCTTGGTATATGGTGCCGGCGCCCTCCTCACTGAGCCACAGGTGCCACCCCTATCTTGGCTTTCAACATGCCTTCTTCACTAAGCCTTAATATTTTTTTTTTCTTTGAAACAGAGTCTCAAGCTGTTGCCCTGGATAGAGTGCCGTAGCATCACTGCTCACAGCAACCTCAAACTCTTGGGCTTAAGCGATCCTCTTACCTCAGCCTCCCAAGTAGCTGGGACAGGTGCCCACCACAGCACCCAGCTATTATTTAGTTGTAGTTGTTGTTTGGCGGGCCTGGGCTGGATTCAAACTGCCAGCCTCGGTGTATGTGGCTGGTGCCTTATCCACTTGATTACAGGCACCGAGCCAAGCCTTAATCATTTTTAGCTTTTGATTTAAAGTGAGAGACGTACAACTGTTCCTTTCTTTTTTCTTTCTTTCTTTTCTTTTTTTTTTTGATACAGAGTCTCACTTTGTTACCCGGGGTCGAGTGCTGTGGTGTTATAGCTCACAGCAACCTCAAACTCATAGGCTTAAATGATTCTCTTGCATCAGCCTCCAGAGTAGCTGGGACTATAGGCATCCACCAAAATGCCTGGCTAATTTTAGAGATGAGATCTCTAGCTCAGTCTGGTCTCAAACTTCTGAACTCAGGCAGTCCACCTGCCTTGGTCTTCCAGAGTGCCAGGATTACAGGCCTGAGCCACCACCACACCCAGCCTTAACTGTTCCTTTCACTTGACCAAGTAGAAGCCACTGTAGGGTAATGGCCTAATTTCAACATTCTTCTGGCTTAGGGAATAGAGAGGGGAATGGCTAGTCAATGGAGCAGTCAGATGCACTCATTTTAATTTTCTTCTTATTTATTTTTTTATTGAGACAAAGTCTCACTTTGTTGCCCTCAGTAGAGAGCTGTGGCATCATAGCTCACAGAAACCTCTAACTCTTGGGCTTAAGCGATTCTCTTAACTCAACCTCCCAAGTAGCTGGGACTACAGGCACCCACCACAGTGTTTGACTTTTTTTTTTTTTCCGTTGTAGTTGTCATTGTTGTTTGGCCGGCCCGGGCTGGATTTGAACCTACCAACTCAGGTATATGCAGCTGGAGCCTTAGCCCCTTGAGCTACAGGCACCAAGCGAGTGCCCGGCTTTTTTTTTCTTTTTTTTTTCCTTTGGTAGAGACAGGATCTCACTCTGACTCAGGCTGGTCTCAAACCTCTGAGCTCAGGGCAGCCCACCTACCTTGGCCTCAGTGTTAGAATTACAGGCATGAGCCACCACACCTGACCCGAACGCACTCATTTATTAAGTTTGTCATCCTGCATGGGCATGGTTTGTTACAATAGTGACGTCAAAGGGGAGTGGTCACAGATCACGATAACAGATATAACAATAATAAAAAATCTGAAGTATTATAAGAATTTCCAGGCTCGGCGCCTATAGCTCAACCGGCTAAGGCGCCAGCCACGTACACCTAAGGTGGCGGGTTCGAATCCCCAGCC